ACACACACACACACACACACACACACACACACACACACACACACACACACACACACAGTCCAATGCACATACATCGACACGCTTCAAACACACACACACAGTCCAATGCACATACATCGACACGCTTCAAACACACACACACACACACACACACACACACACACAGTCCAATGCACATACATCGACAGGCTTCAAACACACACACAAAGTGACAGACTCACACTCACACTGCCACAGACACTGAGAGACACACAAGCGCTCGCACACGGATGTTCTGTGGACGCGCAGAAACAGTGTGTTCGACCGGGGCTTCTTCGTGCACGTCTGCTGCTCCCGAGTGCTGGCAGTGTGACCGCAGTGTGGGGGGCGTCCGGGGGAGCTGGCTGGTTTGTGGGGTTCCACTCCTAGGAGGAAGGAGCGTGCAGGACAGGCTGGAGGTGACTCTTTGGGAGCTGGGGCCGCGGCGAGCAGGCGGACAGCCTGGACCCGGGACCGGTCAGTCACTCGGGACGCTGACTCCAGAGGCCTGAGAGACAGGCACAAAGACAAGTGGGGTCCCCACCTGTGCTCCTGGGGTCCAGCAACATGGTTTCTTCTGATTTCAGAGATTGAGCCAGAGTGGAGCGCACCCCAATCTGCTGTGTGAGCCCCACTGTCCAGCTCCCCGATCCATAGTCTGAAACTCCAGTCCAGCGCCCCAATCTGCAGTCTGAGCTCCCACTGTCCATCTCCCTGATCCGCAGTCTGAGCCCCACTGTCCAGCGCCCCAGTCCGCAGTCTGATCCCCCCTGTCCAGCTTCCCGATCCGCTGTCTGAGCCCTCACTGTCCAGCGCCCCAGTCCGCAGTCTAAGCCCCCCTGTCCAGATCCCCAATCCGCAGTCTGAGCCCCCCTGTCCAGCGCCCCGATCCACAGTCTGAGCCCCCAATGTCCAGTGTCCCAGTCCGCAGTGTGAGCCCCCCTGTCCAGCTCCCTGATCCGCAGTGTGAGCCCCACCTTCCAGCTCCCCGATCCGCAGTCTGAGCCCCCCTGTCCAGCGCCCCGATCCACAGTCTGAGCCCCACTGCCCAGCGCCCCGATCCACAGTCTGAGCCCCACTGTCCAGTGTCCCAGTCCGCAGTCTGAGCCCCCCTGTCCAGCTCCCTGATCCGCAGTGTGAGCCCCACCTTCCAGCGCCCCGATCCGCAGTGTGAGCCCCACCTTCCAGCGCCCCGATCCGCAGTGTGAGCCCCACTGTCCAGCGCCCCGATCCGCAGTGTGGGCCCCACTGTCCAGCGCGGTCAGGCAATGCAGTGGTGGGGCTTTGTTTCTCTACAGCATTTAGACAGGGCAGGGACTGAAGCTCTTTGACATTATGGACCAAACAACAGACGACTGGACCTCTGCTGTCCTCTCGGTCCAGTGGAGCACCTTTGGGGTGACCTGAAAGCGAGGGGCAGGCTGTGTCCTCTCACTGATCCGGGGTGCCCTGTGCTGTCTCTGTCCCAGGTTTCTCTCCTCTTTCCTTCTGCCTCCCTGTTGTTCTAGGATGTCAGCCCCTCTCATCGTCTGCTTTATGCGTTTAGGAGAAGGGAAGATAATGGAGAGATTGCTGTGGAAGTCAAGACCTGCCACATTCCTGCTGGCAGAATTCCTTTCATGGTTTTTTTTCGGTTGCCTGAAGCTGGGAGAGGGTGGGACAAGGAGAAAAGAGATGAGATGAGTGTGAAGGAAGTAGGGAAAGAGAGTAAGCTTCAAGTTTTTAGGCTTCATAAATTTCTCTGTGCTTGCCTCTGCAGTGAAATGTCAAATGCACTTTAAACAGTCCCAGCAGTGCTGCTATTTTGTTTCAGCTTTTGTAAGTTTCTAATTATCTTCCCCGATCTCCTGTATAATTGTTGCTCAGCGTGGTAGTACTGGTATGCTGTCGGTGGTGCCAGTAAAGCTCTTTGAATCCAGATGAGTGAGGGCAGGGCAGAGTCATGGGGGGCTCTCATGACTTACAGAGCAATAATTAACTACAGAGCAGAGGTACAGAGCTCCCATGAGCTACTCCGTTGAGTCACAGAGCTGTAATAAACTAGAGCTGTGATGAACTGCAGTGCTCTAGCGCAGACACAGCAGTGCGTCTCAGACTGTGCTGGTGTGTAGATGACTACAGTCACTTCTTGTGTTGCTGTGTCAGCAGATGGTTCTTTTTTCCCTCCCCATCTCCTAGTTCCAGTGACTGCTCTACCCCCAGAAGTGTGGAGTGAAGATGAGGGCCAGCTGCCTGCTCCTGATTTCCCTGCCTGGTCAGTGTCGGAGCACTAGCTGCTCGAATTCAGTGCTCTCTTGGCACTGTGGCACAGCGTGTTGTGTCCCTGTGTCGCAGTGTGTCACAGTGAATTGTGTCACAGAGTGTCCCTGTGTCGCAGTGTGTCACAGTGAATTGTGTCCCTGTGTCGCACTGGGTCACAGTGAATTGTATCACAG